CAAAATCCGAGATTCAACATATAGGTGCACAGTAACTGAGGATAGATAGGTCAAATGGATTGGATTCTCCTGTATCATCTAGGGACTACGACATAGTGGCCTAGTACGTCTTCAATCAATGAGTCGAGTGAATTATTATGAAGATAATAATTTACTAAGCTGGAAGGAGTTCTGACATGTATGACTCATGGCCAGCTTGATATTAGGCCTAGAGGGTCACACGCATATGGTAGGCGTTGCGATGAGTAGAGGTTCGGATATGAGATATCCGCTGGAGCCCCTATCTTATTAGATATCCAATAAGCCCCTGAATTATTGGATCCTATAGATGAGATATAATAAGAGCCAATGAGAGATTATTGAATAGAGATCTACTAATCTAATAGGCTTGGGTAGTTGGATGAAAATCCAATACTCAATAGGGCATGACCCATTAGGGTTAAGTTGACAAGGGACCTCTATAACTAGGAGGGAACTAATGGTTCATAGGCCAAAGCTTTTTGGGTTGCCTCTCCTATTCTTCTCCCCTTCTCCTCCTCAAATAGTAGGCTTGGAGAATTGAGGATCATCATCGCAGCTCTGCTGTGTGGATCACCGATAGAGAGGAGGACGCTTGACCTCCTTCACTCTCTCCTACATATCTGTAGGGATTCAAGGATATACGATCTCCCTAGGTAACACAATCTTTCATATACGTAGTAAGTTTCGCGGTTTTTGCGCACCAATCTTCGCATGACGATAAACACATCTTTGGAAAATTTAGGATTTTATTTTTAATGTTTTTCCACTACGCATGTGATGTCGCCTCCTAAGATTTCCCAACATATGTGACTATACTAATGGTTTACATTGGAAGTGCAATATGTGAAAAGAGCTACGGGCTCATCATAGTGTGATGCAACCATTAGACATAGTCTAGTAGATCATAAATCAAACATAGTTCCTATATCATAAATCAATTCATAGATCATAAATCAAACATATGGGCTCATCATAATGGTTATCATAATATTTTTTTTAAATGTATACATCAATCAATATAAATGAATGATTATGATTGTTTATGTATCTCTATCGAGGGCAGGGCAGGTAAAGTAATTTTCTTTAGGGATTAATGAGCCATTAGATGTGACAGTTAAATGGTTCTTCCATCCACTATTGAGAAGAATGTGTGCGATATGGATTCTCCCATCAACTGTTGGGAAGATCCAACCCGTGAAGCATACGTCTCCATTTACTATTGGGAGAGTTCACCATCAGATGTTATATATGTTTTTATAGGATATGGGTTCTCTTCATCAATTGTCGTAAGGATCCAACCCGTGAAGTATACTTCTTCATTCACTATTGAGAGAGTTCGCTATCGGATGTTATATGTGTCTTTATTATTTGACGGGTATGTATGTCATCGAAATGTATTACATGATGTATGATTTTATTTACCGCATAAGAATTATCATTATTTTTTAATACATGAGTTTTGATATTCATATTTATTATTTTATATTAAATTATTTAATATTTATATATTTTATAAATATTAAAATTATTTTTATATTTTTAAAGATTCACACTAGTATACCATGTTACTTATGTATTTTAATCTTATATTTATTTTTAAAATAATCTATTATTTTATAATAAATCTAAAACTAAAGTAAAAGAAACCTTTTCGTCCCTTAAAAGATCCTACCAAGCAGATGTATTTTTTCTAATAAAAAATATTTATTATTATAAAAATAAAATTTTAAATTTAAAAATATTTTTTTTTTTGTAAATTATAAATATTAAAATAATAATTTCATTTTATAAATCTCGGATGTGACACTATTCATGTTATTTGAACACACCAAGATCCCTTATCCGAATCAATAGAATCATGCAACATCATGTAAAGTAGAAGAGCAAGACACGATCAATAAATCTTTCTACAACAAAATACTATAAACGATTTCTCACTCGACTTTATACATCATTGTAAGACCTCATGTAAATCATCAGACCGGAAACTATTCCATTTTACTCGCAAACACAAAACAAAGACACCAAGAAAAGAACCACCTCATTATTGAACATGACTTTGCAGCTTTGTATATATGACTTGCTCGTAAAACCTTCTGGTCCTGCCAAACAATATCAATGCAACAACGGTGCCGAAAAGGCTGACAGATGCCATTATTAGAAATGATAACATGAAGCAGTGACGGCCGATGCAGTCATGAATGTCCGATGATGAAGTTGATGACTCCATGTCATATATGTACCCCACCACTCTTACAGAGAGGATATAAGATCCAAATGGGCTTGCAATTGCAATGGTGTTGAAGATGGTACCGAAATGTTGTAGCCCAAACAATTCAGATGTGATGCTGGGCATAAGCGACCACTGAGAACCATAACAGATGCCAACCAATACAGATCCCACATATAGAGAACCAGGAAGGCCAGTGGCGATGACTGCATGGCCTACACTCATGACCGCAAGGGTTAGAGAGATGAACAAGGGCCGCGCCCAACCTTTACGACGCAGGAAGTAATCAGATATATAGCCGCTGCCAAAACGACCAAGGAAGTTCCATATGCTCCAAAGAGAAACCAAAGTACTTGTCTCCAAGCTTGTGTATCCAAGAGAGCCTCCTATCTGACTGATGTTGTTTACTGTGGCCAATCCTGACCCCATGCCGCATGCCATGGCTGAGAACAGCAACCAGAAGTCACATGTCGACATGGCCTGTGTTATACTGAAGTTTTCGCCCCTCTGCAGCAGGATCAGATCTCCATTTGATGGTTCATGCCCAGAACCACAGGCCAATTTGTTTGATGCGGTAGGATCATGCTGCACACAGGTTCTATCTGCTGCTACTCGGTCATATGTTCGCTCTTCTGGAGCTCCTTCTAGATTATCTTCCATTAATCTGGTCCTTTCATGACAAGAACTTTCTCCAAGTGCCTTTGCTTCGATCATCTGAGCTTTAATTACAACAGCAGCTGGAGAGATGAGCATCATCATGAGAGCAGCAAACATCAGGATATGGGCTACTGATCCTATTCTTAAGACGCACTCCCCAATTATAACAAGCATAAGATAACCAGCAACAGTTACAGCTATGAGTGAAAAAGCATCAAGAAATTTCTTCTCAGAACCACCATTTCTGTGGTGAACTTTTACGTAAGGCATTAGTAGTAGTGTGAGGAAAGTTGGCAACAGCGCAAGCATCAGTATAAAAGAGCTTGGGTTGCCATCAAACATTGTCTGATATATTTGAATAAGAATAGCTCCACTTAGACCCAGAAAACCCTACAAGGACAAATTCTCTCTATTAGACTACAGAGATGCTGCCAGTAATAGAATCAGACACCACTTATGCCCTTAAAATACAAAGTGCAGAGAAGTAGGATAATAAAATTAAATCTAACAAATACATTGCATACGTTAGAGCTTGCCATTCCCAGAAAAGAAGTGTTTTTACAGCTTAGAGCATCAACACAATATTGTATTCAGAGAAATTCAAGCTGTGCATGGATGTTGTTCATGCTAAAATTGGTAAAGTGAACCATCAAAGAGGATTTCAGACCTTAGCATTATTCTGGTTAATCAGTTTAGAAAATATAAACCATGGCTAATCATTTAGTATTTGCACATATCTAAGCTAACATGTCTAGTTCAGCCACCATAAGCTTCGATCTCCATCGACCATCGTAGCAAGTTGAAACTTGAAATCAAGGATTGAAATATCGTACCGTACCAGAGTTTCGACATTCGATCGGTATGGTACGATACCGTATACCGAGCGATATACCGTTCAGTATATATATATATATATATATAATAATTTTTATATATAAAAAATTTTATAAAAGGTGATGTCGCGTCACCTCGGCGATATCGCCCCGCGTGGGAGAAGGGAAAGGCGACGCGACGTTGCCTTTTATATTTAATATATATATATATATACATACATATATACTGCCCGGTAACGGGCGGTCCGTGTACCGGTCTGCTGACGGACCAGTACGTACCGCCCATATCGGACGATATTATTTGAAATTGAAGACCTTACTTGAAATTATAAAATCGATAAATGCCATCCATTTGCTACTTTTTCCCAGTGATTTTTTTATAAAACTTTATTAATATTAATAATCTCTCATTCACAAGAATTTCTCTCCAACAAAAAGTATCTCCCCATCTCTTTGTCATTCTAGACAACAACACTGGTAAACAACTGAAAACTAAATACCATCTCTATGGGCCTCTACTGCTGATCCATCCATAAGCTTGTTAGTGACATTTGCCTTTATTTTTTTTTTTTCAAGCTAGCATTTTCTTGATGCTCAAGCTTGAGTTCTACATGTCTCAAAAATTGAAATTCAATGTAATCCTTCAGGAAGTACCATTCGAGCAGACTGGCTGTTCTTCTGCTTTCGCTCATGAACCAGTGTATTTTCTGCTTTTTAGGGAGGGATTTCATGCTTGAAGCAGATTTTGACATTTTATCTGTCCATCAAGATTCATGTGTCAAATGCTATGCCCTTATATCCAGACATCTAGATCTCTTATTTAAATAGGATACAGACCTCTTTCTGTATACTATTCAAATAAGACTTTCTGCACGCATCCTGCATCAAGACTGCAGGACTTAGCAGAGGGAATGTCTCATCCGTGGATCAGTGGAAGAACCACTTTCCAGATGTCATATTCATCAAAAGTGTGAGTGGGGCTGCCAAGGGTTCTTTGGTCAAGAAATTGTATTATCTTCATAAACATTCAGCATGTTGATGAGAACATCCATACCTACTCTATTTGGTACACAAAATGCTCTAACTGCTGATAGCTACTATGCAATTATGTAGGACAATGGGTAAATTGACCAAAAGATATAGGAAATAAACTTAAACATACAGAAAGTTACCGTAAAACACGATGAGAAAATATCAATGTTTAGCTTTTAAATGTAAAGTTGCATATATTGACTTTCCTCAGACCTCACCCGATGAGAGCCCTATGTACTAAACCACCTTTTTTTTTCATAAATGCACCACTTATTTTAGAGTTTCCAACAAAAGAATCCTTGCCTATGTAGAATCAGACTTACATCTTCACAAATTTTGTTAAATATTTTTAGGTGATATGATTGTTATCTTTGCTATCTAGATGATTAGGGTTCAAGTAATGGATTCTACATCTTTGCTTGCAGGGGATAAAGCTATGCATATTGACCCTCCCAAACTTTGTACATCATTTAAAATTATGGCACATAAGAGGACCCTATGTCTCTGCTATCAATCCCTTTAATGAAAAAAAAAAATGAAAAGGAGACAACTCACTTGGTACCTTTCCAGCTTACCTATCACCATCTTCATACCTATGACTATTTAATCGCCAAAACTACATGACCAACATAAGATGCTCAAGACTATTAATCTTCATGATTACCACCTAAATCATGAACGTCACCGCCACCACATCTAGAGTCATAACTATCTCCTAAAAATGAAGATTCTTTTGGCTATTGATCTGAAACTTCTTCTTGGGGAAGTTAAAGACTACGGTGAACCTGCACAAAAGCAACTGACAGTGTGTGAAGCCCTAATCCTAAGGATAAGTATTTGCCAAGTCACAAAAACATGCATTGGAACAGAATTTGTTTCCTAAGTTACACAGTATATTTTCAGTAAAAAGGTGATCTTTATTTTATGCACAATTACATGAATGTAGTCCAGACAGGAAATTTGAAGCCTTAAAATATCAGCTTGTTCCATAACTGTGCTAATACTTCAATAATTAATATGTTCTGCAAATCATGTCTGATGGCGCTAATCAAATTGGATGCAAATTCTAGAATAGATTCCAGCACATCATTGCAAAGTACATTATCTATTTTAATTAAATGTCAGTATCCAGTTTCTTTGCCTTCAAAATCATTCATAACTCTGTATAATATTGGTCATTCATGCTGACCATTCCTTGCAAGGGATTATGGAACATTTTTATTTGTCAATTATAGAGTAAAAAAAGGGACCTAAATGATGCATTTCCTAATGATGTAAATACCCTGTCACCATATAGGTAAATAGAATTCTCATCTCAAGCCTTGTTCCTCCCTCTAGACCTCCTCACAAAATCGGCTGAATAAAAATAAAAAAATTACAACATTTGTTAATAGAAAGGCACCTAACCTAGTATTTCACTGAGGGGTGTTCCCTTAAAAAACACACATTAATGCAAACAGCAAAATCCAGTTACAGAAGGGGATACACATTTACTATATGAAATCGGTAGTTTCTTTTTATCAATGGTAACACATACATGCTAAGAATTGTAAGCACGAGGATGATCCTAAAGCCTCTTTAAATCCAATGAAAGTCAAAAGTAGATAGTCAGATTGTCAGGATTACAAATGCCTCAACGATTTTCATTGGCTTGATAATTGATACTGGTGATTTGTAATCATTTTTTATGAATATGCTAATGAAATCCAATTGATTGTCATGTACTTTAATTACTCAGTTATTTTCTATTTCCACTGAAATTACTTGTGCTTCAAAATTCAAGAACAAAAAAAAGTCAACAACAACAAAAGATAGAAATTGTATTCAAGCAGCTTTGATCACAAGTTTTTCTCTGTCACAACAACGAAGAAAAATTCAATTTGAGCTTCGAGATTAACATTAAATACCATATATAAACGAATAATCCCAATCAGTGGTCACAAAATTAACGCCAGAGAAGGGGAGGAGCGATTACCTTCATGATACCGATGACGGTGCCCCGGCTATCCGGGAAGTTCTCGACCGCGGTGACCACGTTCGCGGTATTGAAGAACGTCTGGGCGTGCGCCGCCAGCAGCATGTAGAGGCACATCAGCGCCGGCGCCGGGCGGGGGACGCACCCGGTCACCGAGAGCCACATGAGGAGGTACCCGACGAAGCACTGGGCGGCGCCGACGAGGTGGACGACCCACGTGCGCCCGTGGCCCGCCCGGGAGGAGATTAGCAGGCCGGAGAGGACGCCGATGTTGGCGCCAACGTCCTTGAAGAAGGCGACGGAATCGAGGGTGGACTGGTCGTAGCCCTGGGACGACTTGAGCATCGGAGAGTACACCCCGAAGCAGTAGGAACCGCCGGAGGCGCACTGGATCCACGTGCTCGCGGCCATCGCCGCCCACGTGCTCCGCCGAGCGGCGGCGACAGCGGACGATGCGACCCCCATGGCGCCCTCGTCTATCATGACCGCTTCTTCTCCCTTTTGCATATTCAAATAAACAATCGGAACTAAACCAAACCAGAGAACAGGAAACTAATCCAACTATATTGTGCCACGTAAAACTAATTTTACGTGCCATGTTTTAGGTCGGGCTTTGCGGGGGACGCTGTGGCAGCTGTTACACACGAAGGAGATAGGGATAAAGATTCTTAGCGCGGGGTCGATGGAGGTAGCGCCAACAATTACGGACCCACCATCGAACATCTACCATTCAATCACGAAGCTGGTATGGCAGGGTCCCACACGAACGAGTGGTTGGGATTGTGGAATCGGACGTTGCCCGCTGACGGGTAAGGCCGGGGTACGAGCCCTCAAGACGGTGAAGCGAGGATGGTAACGGATGGACACCACGGAGAAAGTAATTGTTTCATTTGAGCGGTCCTCCTCGTCGTCACTATCGGTTTGTGGTATTATTAGAAAGTAATTATATTCGAGTTTGAAAAATATATATACGAAGTATTTTGAACGAATTTTTGAAAAAAAAAAAAAGTTTTTAAGTTTCAGAAATTTTCTCAAACTGATCGATGTTTGAAAAAAAATTATAAAACATCTTTGATCGTGTGAAAATATTATTTTACTGTTATAATTTTAAAAAATCCTTACGCCAACCTCTTCGCATACGACAACAAGAAAGGGGGGCATGAGGAGACCTTGACGACGAGGAATAGACACGAGGATATTGTGCGACTCTCATCAGACCCTTGACTCTCATTGTCATTGTCCATCGTGAAGGTATCGTAGAACACTACTTGCACTCTTGCTTGCACGAGGGCGATGAGAATTGCTCCGTCCCTTATCTATTGGGGTGTAGTGGAGGCCACTACACCTTTATCGCTAAGAGGGTCTGATGAAGAGGGTGATCAATAGAGCGACGATGTAGCTAAGGAATAAATGAAGGGCAATGGGGGATGAGAGTAGGATTATTATTTTTAAAAAATGTTGAGCTATGTGAAAATTTTTTAAATTTAAAATGTTATTTTTTTCTAATTTAGAAACTTTTTTTTAATTCACCCACAAATATTTTTAGTATTTTTAATTTTATAGTTACTATCTACTTGACCGACTTAGACAAAATCAAATATATCAGACGTGAAATATTAATCGATGCACCAAATTCACGATGTTATGATTTAGGTTGTTGAACATAGCTTTTCCTCAAAAGTCATGTTCCAAAAAAGATTATTAAGACGGGCATAAATTGATGTGTAACAAATATATGGGATATTAATTTAATTTAAAATTTTAACTTAGGAGCAAATTTAA